AGAGAGAGAGAGAGAGAGAGAGAAAATGGTGGTCAGACTCGACGCTGGAATCCTTCTAACGATGACTTTTGTACACGCGGACAGCAGGTAAATACGACGGAGCCGTGTTACAAGGAGAAGAAAACGAGGAGGACGTGAGGAGCACGCTGGCCGAAAACACGCGTGACCTGTATTTAAGGTGGTTTCCCCTCGGTCTCGTTCCCGAGAGACCAGCCCGGGCTTCCACGGTTTTTTTCAACCTTATTTGCAAACCACCACCCCTTTTTTTGCGTTTCTTCCTCTTCTTTATCTTCGTATCGTTCGTTCTTCCTTTCGGTTCTGCTTTTTCTCTTTCCGCACGGCTTCGATAGTTCTTTCTCCCCTGTTGGTCCTGCTCGATCAATTCTCCTTTGCACGCGAACGTGAGAACCTGGGTCTCGCTCTTTCATTTTTCAACCATGCAAACGCGTGTTCTTCCTAGATCGATGGCTCGTCTCGTTGGCGATGGGTCTCGTTTCGCGGAATCTCGTCGCACACAGTTTCAAGCATCGAGGGCTGCGTCGGTTTTAACACTAGGTTTACCAACGGATCATTTTGACCCCTCTGAGAAAACTTTTCGTCAATTTTCTTCGAGAAAATTCTTGCCGTAATTCTTGCCGTGAGAATATTTTAATTAATTTTTACTTACATTTATAAGACATATAATCGCAAATCTGATCTTTCCTGTCTTCTGGTTTCGGAGAAATGTACATGGTATACCTACTTTTACCGAAGGGGTCATTTTGACCATTCGAATTAATTTTATTATATCTGCCACCACATTTTCATTTATTCGCTTACTTTCTTTTATTCCATAATTTTATTGCATTTGGCAACACGCTTTTTCGTTTTTTCCACTTTTTATGTGGTTGATGTGTGTTGCAAAACCGGTTTTTTGGACGAGAAGCTATTAGAGAAGAAAACAACATTGGTGGGAACTATTCGGGGAAATAAAATAGAACTGCCGAAAATTGCAAAACAAAAAACAAATGATTTGCCTCGTTTTTCAAGTTTATTGTATAAATCAAGTAATTGTACACTTACAATATACAAAAGCAAAGCAACTAGAAATGTTCTTCTTAGTTCCAAGCACAATTCCATCAATATTGAAAAAAATAAAAGAAAATTACCCGAATCAATAGCATATTATAATAACACCAAGTACGATGTTGACATGACAGACTAAATGGTTCGAAAATATAAATCGTCATCTCAAAGATGGCCTCTGCAAGTCTTTTTCAATATCCTTGATTTGGCTGGGATCAATTCGTGGATATTATATAAAGAAACCACTGGTGAAAATATATCTAGGAAGGATTATTTGTTCCAGTTAGCAGAAGAACTTGCTGCTAATTACACAGGTTCATCTGAATCAGAAAATTTGAATGAGCTGTGTTGGTGGATACAGTTGATAGTTCCGGAACAAGAAAAAAATGCCAAATAGGCCTTTGCAATGAAAATAAAGCTCAAGTTACCTGTGGCAGTTGCAAAAGATACGTTTCTGGAGAAAAAGAAATTGCAATTTGTAAAAAATGCTTTACGTTAAGATATCTCAATGTCTAATTCATTGATGTTCATTGTTGCGCTCAATGCTAAAATCAACGAATTTTCGAAAACTTAATATTCATATAAGGTCAGAAATGTAATGTAAAAAAATTATAGCTTCAACGATATCAATTAGGCATTAAAACATCTAAGCATCTTTATAATGTGTAATAAAAATCACGAGACTATTAAAATACAAATTGTAGATTTTAAATAACAAGAGTTACCTTGAACTTGTGGATGTCGTGAAAATAACTGTATAAGGGAATGTAGTGTCGTACAAATTGTAAGTACGAAAAAGAATGTTTCTGTGAAGAATTTGTATGTTTTCGCTCAAACTACTATGTAAATTTCGATTTTTCGAATTTTTCGCACGATGTAAGTAACACTGTTCATTCGCTGGACAGATCACTATAAATATCTATAGTTAATAAAAAGACAATATACCCAGATGATATAGCCCAAAATGATTTTATCATAAATACAAAAATCACAGAGACATAATACTATCCTACCTTCTAGCAACGTTGGCTCAGGCCTGTTTTTCACACCGTCAAATCATCGAAACTGTTCTCAACGATCAAACTCTCGTTAACAGCAACGAACGATCCTCTCCGCCTTCTTCCATCCGCCAAACCTCTGAAAAACAACTGGCAGTCCCGCTCGATAGCACAACACGTGAAACGCATCGAGCGTCCCAATCAGCTTTCCCGACATATTTATTGCACCCGGCTGAAGACTTTGACCCCTCGCGCGGTCCCGCGTACCAACCCCCGTAGCCCGAGGAATCGTCGTCGCCGACTCGGTACGATTTTCAATTCGATAGGAACGTCGCGCGAAGGAAGGTGCGGAGAGCGAGTTGCAGTATCAGTCATCGGTAATAAATTTCGCGAGAAATTGCCGGTCACCGCAGGTCTCGACCCCGCCGACTTCGAGAACGCTACGGGGGTTGGATGAGGAACCAGTGGTGAGGATCGGCTCGACTGTGGGGGTGGGAGAGGGCGCGCGACTCCGCCGTGCAAAAGCAAACAACAATAATAATTATTTCGATATAGAGGAAGAGGCCTGGTAATATCTGTAATGGGCCGTTCTACTCGAGTGACCTGTCAGCCGGCGTTGAATTAATGGCAGCCGAGATTTCGCGCGGAAACGATCCGCGCCGAGGGAGGAAACGGCGGGATCCGTGGTTCCAGGGCTGAACGCCGAGGAAGAGAGAGCCGATCGTGGCTCACGACCGTCCACCTGACTCGTTACGCTGTTTATGGCGGGCCAGCAACGTTCCTCGGACCCTCGTAATCGTATTTCTACGTGTACGCTCGTGGACTGCGTACTCGAGTCTGTTTCTAACCGCGACGTCGATACACAGCGTCAGCCCGATGCAGCAGGTCGTGAGATGTTTTTCGACCGCATCCTGGTGAGTCTGTGAGTCGAGGAAACGATCGTGCTGGAATATCTTCGATTGGTTGCATGTATGCTCGTGTATTGGAAAGTATACCTTTGCACGTGTATGGTTCCAATGAAGTTGAATTTTTCAAATCACTCGACGATATTTTTCTCGTTATTACAACTCATCAAGGACTAAAATACTGAATGAAATTGCAAGTGCAAGCAATTGATTTGTAATACAATAAAGAATACAAGGCTTGTGTCGATTCGAATCGATCATCCCATTCAATTCAGATCAGTCATTCTAATCTTCAGAAATACACATGTTGCAAATCTATAAAAATTAAAAAGTATAATCTGTTCCCATGATAATTAATTATTCCTCTGTCACTGATACGTGCAAACTAAATAAAAGTTATTTTGTCTCAAACTTCTGTACCACGCTTAATCCTCTACCCATCGATCAGAGTCATACCTCAAATTGATCGAGCATCATGATGAATACGAAGCAGGTTAAACTTAATTTCCGTAACATAAAACGATGAATACGAAGCATGGGAAAGAACGCCATAAGAGGAAGAACGTGGATCAACGGAGAAACATTTTCGTGCAAACAGCAGCACGCAGTTGTTTGTCGAGGGCACGGCTCTGGTTGTAACATTGAAAGAAGCTCGCAGCATGCTGGCACGACGCTCTTGTGCACGCGTGATTTTCATTCGTGAGTCGCGTGCGGACGCTGTCGCACGCGATACCATGTATTTCCCACCTCAAGTACACTTCTTTCCATCGTATTTCCGAAAAGTTATTACATCTCCTATTAATTTAAGTAATTTTGCTTGTGCATCATGCGCTATATATCATGTTCTTCTACGGTTTAAAAAAAAATGAGGCAGGGCAGATTGTGAAAGGTTGATTAAAAATCAAATTTCAGAAAATCACGAATTCTAAATTATAATATATATTATATAATAAATATAATGTGAATAAATATATAAATAAGTATAATATAGATTATCTTATAATTAATTATATTATATAACAAACAAATAATATATATTACAACAATTCTGAAGATATTACAAAATTAGTGTAAACGAAATGAAACAAGAGAATTCTATCGATTCTATCATCATTTTCCAATTATTTTAAGGTAGGTGTCATCGACTGAAACGCGTGAGAACAGGAAGAAAAGTGGGCTGGACGGAAGCCATCTGGTAGCAGGTTTTCCACGGTGGAGAACAATGTGAATGATAGATATAATAAAGGTCGCTGGGAAAGTAACAGGATCCGATGCTAATTAAAAATTTGTCCACGGAATACATTATCGTGGTCGCGGGAAAACAACGCCTATTCCGAGCTCCGATTTGACACTTCATCATTCCTCAGGCCTGTCATTAAAATGATATTAGACTCGAAATCGTAATGGGACAGCCTCCTATACATGCACCTTTCTCTGGCTTTCAAAAGGATAAATCACACGTTAATTTTTAATATATAATTCTTAATATATATTTTTGTTTTTCAATACCATGAAAAAAAAACGTCGCTCGTTCAATAAGAAATTCGTGACAAACTGTATATCAATCCTATGTACGTTTCTTTTGCATTCTTTCACATTAGTACTTTTCATTGATAACAAAACAAAACGCAGAAAATTTAAAAATTCGTCGACTCGATGGATTTGATAATAATTAGGTTGCGGATTTCTATGCAAATTCATATTTTCGCAATTACGTAGAGTGAGCTTAAGTTCTACTAAATACTACAGTGGGTAATGTATTTCAGATATTTCGTATATTGTACATGCATGGATTATTGGATTTCTAAATTTTGTATTTTTACAGTTTGATAGTAATAAGTTAGGAAATTGTCAAAATGAATTAGTCTTTAATTGATTATTTTAAATCATTGAAAAGCTCAATAGAACTTCACCATTTTTTTAATTCGTCCTTCTCATTTCTCATACAGAAACGTTCAATTTATCACGCGGTGGATGAAGTTGAATAATAAAATTGAATATTAAATTTGCGATGCAAATCGGTCATGTCGCGAAATGCAATACACGAGAATGTTTCGTATACGAAAGAACGAAACACGAAACTTGAAAATTGAACCGAAGAAATTGATTTGCATAGTGCGAATAGTAATCCGTGGCACGATGCCGAGCAACGTGTCCGAAGGGAACGAAAGAACAAAACAAATTAAGACGTTGGAATTCATCAAGACAGAATTTAAAAACACGAAAGAAGAACACGGTGGTGGTGTCTTCCGGCGATAAATAATCCGAAACCGTGGCGTTTCCTTCTCTTTGTAAAATATATATTTTTACATATTTGAAACTACCAACCGAAACTCTGCAGAATAAACGAGTAAAATCTCTCGCGTGTCTACAACACGGAACCAAAAAACCAAAAAAAAAAAAAAAAAAAAAAATGGCATAAAAGAAATTTCGACAACGGTACTCGCGATACGATTTTTGTTCGTACTCGAAAAATGTAAACGAACAAAAGGATGTAAAACAAAAAATCCTGTACCGTAGAACGAAACAGCGGTGGAGGGAGGGGGGAAGGGAACGGTATGTACAAAATCGATGGAAAGTTCGCGGTAACAACCCCATGGTGAAAATTTAACGGAGCAGTCTCGACTCGAGACAAACCGAGCAGGGGGATGGTCGACACTGTTCGAAATAGCCGTTTCAAGGCGTGTTTCGAGGTTGGCTGGATACCATGGCGCGCGGGACGATGCAGAACGTCGCGGCCATTCAGCCCAATCCGGCGAAAAGGAACAAGGGTGGCGTTTCACCGTGTTCCATCCGGCTCGTGGCATCGCGCATTGTGGATTCGCGCATACGTAAGTGCATCTCTCCGATATAGCCCGACACGCAGAAACACGTCCGAGCTTGGCGAGGATTTATGTCACGCTTAGACATCGTCCACTATGCGAAACATCGATAATGCAACTTCCAAACAGATCCAAATGCGTCTACGAAATGGAAGCTTCTGAGCTCCTTAGCATGTCGTTCTGTAGATGCTTAACTATGGAACGATACCGTGGTATTATATCGGCGGCTCCATCGAACTTTAGTCGTGTCTGTAAGTGTATTAATTCCTGACGTTCGCAATTCATCCATTGTAATTTTATTTTGGGTTCAATTTCAATCAATTGAGGTAATTAATAAATTACGATCAATTACAAGTAATAACTAGTAAATTCGAGATAGAAATAGAAACTAACAAAGTAATAATACAATAACTACATAATCTCGCAAAACGTTAATAATTAAAAAAATTACAATTAATTACAAGTAATGACTAGTAACTTTAAATGAAATAGGTAATCTCACAAAACAGAATTAACCACAATGTCATCTGATAGATCTCATATCAGACTGTGACTTATTCGCTATTTATAATTTATTCCCTTAAGATTGTTATTTATTTCAATGATTTCAGCATCGTTGATCGATACACATCCTAAAATATCCGAAGAGACTGAAAAAAGTCATGATTGACTTTTTCCATTCAAAATTCTTTTAAAAGAAGATATTCGAAAGCTGCTTGATAGATAGATCAGATGAATCTATACAAAGTCATGACGATTACTACATCCCAGGCTGAAATGTATTTCTATATTTTTTATAAACAACAAACTTATGAAAAGAAGGACCAGGAATTAATTTGTACACCTAATATAAAATGGGTATTAGAATATCACATTAGAGCATTTGTACACTCTCCTAATATGTGCCACAATTTATAAAATAATTATCTAAATATTCCTGCGCGTATTTTTAATTAAAAAGAACTTACATTCCTTAGACTAACAAATAAATAAGTCACTTAATATCCAATCATGGTCGTTTTTCAATCTATCCAATTATTGTTAGCCTAACTTAGACACGTGCAGATTTACTGTTACTAGCTATGAAACGTATATATTTCTCTTTTTCTTATCCAATGACTCGACAAAAACTTAATCTCAACCACGGTAGCCATCATCAACGTTCGTTCCTCGCTATTCGCCAGTGACCATTATTACCACCTTTCGAAATCCAGCCCGTGATCTTGGTCTAAGGTGACTGGCGCTAGTCACGCAATGTGCAACGCTTCGTATCACCAAACGGTCCACGAAGTCACCGAGAATTCCTACGAAATCGGAACTTACTCCGATGGCGTGGCAATCGTCGACGTTCGTTTATGAACGGAGCAACGTAGTCACTCTCCGTCGCGAAAATGAGAGTTTACTGCACGTTGCAACGGTGAAGTTGGAGGGGGAGGGGAAGAACGCTCCTTTGTCTCTTTAT